CGGCAGGCTATTCGATGCGGACGCAGGCCGCACACTGCTTCGTTGACGAGACCCCTAATCGTGCAAAACTCCTACCTAACTGAAATTCAAGCTGAAGCGTCTTAGCTCGCCCACACCTTCCCATGTCAATTACCTTCAGTAGTGGTGCTTACTTACATTTTCTCTCGCTCCTCTCCTTTTCCCTTCCATTCGTGCAGTTGTGGCCATCACCACTCTTCTGTCAATCCTCCTTTGCATCTAGGAATGGTCTTTCACTCAACTCAATTTTTGTCCTGCATTCATGGAATAAATAACTTTTTCCAATTAAAACTAGTTTTTGAGTGATTAATAAAAAGTGCAAATATGAGTAGTGTTGCGTAAAATTAATTTCTAAATATACGATAGATCCAATAATATGCGATCTGTGTCTCATTTACCTTTTTATTTTTAGGTGTATACGATTTTTGCACACTGTTTATATTTTGTCAACTTATATTGAGGAACAGAGATATAAAGAGGGCATGAAATGGGGAACCCAGCTGTCATTTGTAAGTAGTTATCAGAGTAATTGATATTGTTAAAGGTGAAATGCGAACGCATTTGCCTGTGCATTTTCGCATTCCTAAGACTCAATCTCTTTAGCATCATTTAATTCCTGCATATAGTTTTATGCCTAAGTATACGCACCTTTGACCACTGCGCACTTGAAGGGGCAAATTATTTGTCAGGGTGTTATGCAGGTGGGGTCCTGTCAAGACAGCTGTAAGCTACCTTTGCTACCTGTTAATGGAACACCGGTAAGTCCAGTGTGGGGTTCTCTACACCAAGTAAATATCGGATCACTGGGGCCCAACTCTTCAAGCAAGTGACGATTAGTGCACTCAGTCAGGCAGGGGTAAATGAGAATCCAAATTTGTAGAATGTTTGAAATTCAGCCACAAATATGAAATCTTTTCGAAACTTTACAGGGAGTGTTGTTTGAAGCTCTCAGGCAATTCCGACACATTCATACGCATAGCTACCTTAATTCCTTAAACTACGATACTATGGGATATGGATGCTAGCTTTGAATCCTGAAGATTCACTGAAAGATAAACAAAGAGGGCTATGCACTGTGCGTGCATATTTTGTCCCTAGAGAACAAGATAATATGGTTCAGCTACCTTCCAATAGCGGAACCCTACCTACTACCTAGTGGTAGTAGGTGACCACCTAAATAAATTCGTAAATGGTATGGTATGCAAGAATGCAAGAATGTTGCATTTACCACTGCAATGCCACTTGAAAATAAGAACTCAGTAAACTGTTTTATCCCTTCGTGTTACCCTTGAAAATCCTACTTGCTCTTATTCGTAGTAAATTACAATAGCAAATCTAAGGGGCCGGATGAGCTTAGATCGGTTTTATAGCAGCATATTTTAGGTCTACAACTAAAAGAGGGTTTAACACGCTACCTTAAACGTGATTGGCATGTTACCAGCAAATAGCACATTTTGATCTCTGGGGTTGACCTAGCAGCCTGCAGATTGCGTTTGCCATCCTCTACGAATTAACACGACTCTTTGTTCCACCTTGTAGGACTCTGCAATCTAACCAATATAATACTCCTATAGCCAACTCAAATCACTCATGCTTTTTATCTGCCATGGTTCTTCTTCTCTTTTTTCACATTTTACTTACACTTTGCTTTAAGTCTAATCACATTTGAATTAATTTAAATAATGGGTAGTTCCTCGAATGATCTCTTCCACTCTATCTGGTAATTTATGATGGGAATGGTAATGCAATGTAAACACAACTTTTCACATTTTTGCCGTTAATCCTGACTTTAGCTGTGTCAAAAGCGACGATTTTATAAATCTTTCTCGGTTGCGATCAAAGTATTTCAACAGCTCCATTTTGTCTTTGTACTGGTTCCTTGAGCTTTTAATAGTTATCTAATGTCAGATGATGTTCAAAGTCTGTGTCCTCAGTAGTTTAAGATATGGATTACTTGCTTTCATTTTAAGCTCTCTGGTCTCTGGTGGGACAGAAGAGACCAAAATTTCATTAATGAAAATACGGATGAGATGTTTTGGGCCCCACGCAATTTCTTCTCTCCCACAATTACCGAGCGTAAGCAGTGCTATTCGAAAGACTGCGGCTTTAAATGGCTGGCTACAGCTACAACACGTCAGTAGCTTTTATTCATACTGAAGTAAGGAAGACGTCAAAGCTATTGGAACTGGGTCCATAGCTGACATAGGTCGCTCTTTATTTGACCTAATTTAAACGGATTTGGAGAGAATACTCAAGCATATCTAGAAAATAAAACTGAAATAGCTAGAAAGCATTTTTTCGCTATTTTTGGCTGTAATTTGTAGAGTACCTTCATTAACTTTCATTTGTGGCCCCATGTCTTCTGGAATACGTTGGACGGCTTGCGTTTACAACTTCGGTGGGAAGGGCTAGGGATGGGGGTGGCTTTCATTCCAAGAACACTTTGCAGATCAGTAATAGGGCATGAAAATTTCGAAAAAATTAGGCAAAAAAATTTCCTAAAGTAACTGCATCAAATCTCACTTAGAATTTACTTTAATGTGCTTCATGCATTGCCCCACCTTCGCAGATGCTCCAATGCCAATTCTAGTAAGACTATCGGTCCTAAATTGCTTCCATATTGCAAATGACTTTCAGTTCTTTGATATCCACTTGCAGGCATTCCATAATTTTACAAAATAAATGATATAATTTTAATACTTGCCCTATGTTAAACATTTGTCGACTCTTTATTAAATTACAGATTATACCGTATTTATCACAGTTATGATGGAAGTGATACTCCATTTTGGTTTAATTTTTAATTGATTGTTGCATTTTAGTTATGCACGTGGAAGATCTGTCTAAAATTTACGAAATGGTAATATCGAAAGGGTAAAATCATTCCTTGCACCAAAATTTCCTTACAATTTATCATCTTTAAATTTGTACTGTCTCAGAGAGTGGACTCTAGAAGGTGAGCTCAACATTTTCATTCTAAAGCTAGATTATCCGCCACACTCTCAGTGTTCAAAACACTAAAATCACACTTTGTCGTCTTAAAGTGTTCTGCCACACATTCAATCTAAAGGGGTAATTGTGTGCCACATATACTGCTAAATAAATATAGATATTCTTACCTCGTTTCCATTTTTATCTAATCAGTTAAGCCAAGTGATTAAGCAATTGCTGTCACAGATATCTTAGGATAATTTTAGATCGTTCCTAACGCAAACATGGTATTTTTTCAATTTGGATGCTCTTAGTATGCTATGAAATATTTTGGCTGAACCAATTTTTAAAGTAAGTGGTCCAAATGATGAAAGCTACTTCAAGTTACTTATACCTGTTGTAGTAGCAAGAATATTAGTACAACAATCTTATGTATTCCCCCGGGACCGATCGCAAAATCAAATGAAGGAGAGTGAATTTGGGAGGGAAGAGGCTGCCTAGTTGTTCTACTGAAAAATAAAGGTACTACTTGTGGAATCCAAGGTCCTCGAATATATTACTTAAAAATTCTGGTACACAACATACAAACAAAAAAGTTGCGCAAATATTTAGATCTCATTTACTGGCCAGTTGGATCTGTTGGATATACATTAATGTATCTAAACAGAAAAAGGTCTAAAAATAAGTTTCCTTTATTCTCTTAAGTCCATGATGTAATGCAGTCTTCTATTTATTAATTTGCTTTCTGTTCCATCTAAGCAATCTATCTGTGGTTTGTTCACTCTAGTCATTCCATGTCTCACTGACATATTAAATCTTTTACAGCCGCAAAATTGTAATGATTTTAGAACTATTTTGATGGATTTTCTTGTCACAAAAGTGCAAGTGCATTCTTAGTTCTGATGTCCTGAAACTTTATTGCAGCTACTTAGTGCTACCTCATGCTGCTTTGAAAAGCAGTTATTTTGGCGAATAAATGAGCCGATTTCTTTGCTGATGAGTAATATGCATTACTAATAGCAAGTGGCCCGGAAACCCAATCGGTCAGAAAGTAGGCTTTGTTCTCCTCAAGATCAAGATGAGATTGATTAGGGCAGAAAAAAGGATGAGGAAAGAAAAGAAGACTGCCAAATGTTGTTGTTTATTCGTGTTCTGGTGACCACCTTTTCTAGCTTTAATTTCTACAGTTGCATGGCAGCCAAAATTGAAGTCTAGCCAATGTAGGCCACAGGGTCCTTGCGGTTAGCTGGCACTTCATCAAACTCTATACTAGGCCACTGAAGCACTTGAATCAGCAGATTGCCCTTTCGCCCTTCAGTATGACCTTCGGGCCGTGCCAGTAGCCCTCCAATCCTTCTGCACATTAGTAAATAGTATGTTTTCCCACACTATTTTGTCTTGCTACAAATTCAAATCACTACAACCGCATTAATCACCCGCGCACTTTTAAGCATATTTAATAGTACGTTAACTTCCGCTCGTAATTCCTTTTTTGCTTAAGGTTTGCAGTAAACAGGACCGGAACATACCGAGGACCTTAGATTTTCGAAAATAACCATTAAACATGTGTCCCTTTGACGTGACCTTTGAATAAACACACCACCTCCAAATTGTGCAGCCATAACTGAAAATAGAATGTTTTCGATTTGTAAGCCCACCAATAAATTTAATTAACGAGGTATGCAGCATTGGTAAAGCAATGAGATAACACCTCAGGCAAGGCATCTGTTTTATACCGCTGCGTATGTTCCACTGTGGTAACGGGTGGTACCGAGGTGCTAACCAGAATAATCAGGATGTCGAAGACTTAAGTAAAATGCCGATCACACGTTTGCACTAGGAGCATGGACCACATTGTCTTCGCACCTTCCTGCCAACCTGCAGTACTGGTGTGCTCGGGCTGTTAATATTCTCGCAAATTTATCTGTTTTGGTTTGGCCTTGATATGTAGGTGATCTTAGAGCTTTTCTCCATTCAAAATATACCAATGAGAATTGAACTTGTGTGTAAATAGTGAAGCGGACTAGAATGTTCGGGAAACAAGTGTAAAAATGAAAGAGTCATTTCCCAGTCTGTTACCTCTAAAACACAAAAGTATGATAGTTCTTTTAGAATTGTGGATATTCTCTGCAAATCTAGCATTTGTTATTCCATCAGACAAAGAAGCATCATCATTTACTTACCTAACTCCCATTTTGCGAAACGTATAAGCTGGATGCCTTCATTTGGGTTTGTCGTTAAATAACTAACGAATACTGAATTTCACAATTTGTAAATTTAAATTACCCTTTTGAAGACAAATGCAATGGTACATAAGCCAAGGTCGTCTCATTTTTGCAAACTTAATCTGAGCATAAGCCTCAATTCACTCACTAAATTGGTGATTTTTGCTTTGGTGACTGATAACCACATTAACGGTTTTTAAATTTTAAACTCCTAAAACCTCTGTTTGTGTCTGAGTTGAGAAAGTCAACTCTAGTATCCTTAGGCCAAGGCCATTTCATAGGCAACCCTTTTGATGTCTGTCAGATACTGACTGACCTTGACAGTTCAGTCCCTTTTATTTACAACAGAGCCTCAAATCATAGTGGAAGAACTATGCTTTAGTCGACCATTTTCACATCCAACAAGTCAGATCAGGATCTCCGAGCTTTTAAATGAATTAAACAAAGCTTAAGCAGTACAGCCCGTTTGCTTTTCGGCATTGAAATTCAGCACATAAATTTACTCATTCCACTGTTTATCTAACACATGTGAAGTTGCGATTTTGAATAATATTTTTTGTACGGCTACACCGGTCAAAATGAAAGCGGTCTTAGAGAATCCAAGTGCATAAAACTTTTTGTTTGGAATCCCAAATAGGAGTAGATGGCCATATTCGACTTTCTCACTAAAGGAATTTTAAAAGCAGCATTTTAGCTCACCGAACTAACCAAATTTTTTGGGCTAAATTTGATCATCCATAACCAATATCATTAGATGCAGACGATTTTCCAATTGTCTTTAAAATACCTTACCACGACTAAGTGTTCCATTATAGCACTCTGTTTTAAATTCTTTTGCAGATAGTTACAAGTTTTGTATACTTTGTAATGCCTTTATCACCACATAGTCCATACATATACCAACGCTCAGCCGTGGCCGCTTGGACATGAGCTCTAAGTCTTAGTAACAAAGGGCATTTGACACTTACCACGCACAAATGTAATTATGAGAATTGGAAATTTTTTAGTATCCAAGCATGAAGCTTAAGACTGAATTTATTAAGCATGTGCGGCCGCTTGCCTCACAGATGAGTGAATGGACTTGCGTACTTTGCTCATAAAGTTGGTGGCGCTGAGTGTTCTGCAGATCGACAAGGATAAGCCCATAACTTAGAAATTCATATTTCTATCATTTATTAGAGATTTTTGGATTTAATTAGGTCTGGGAATAGGAGTGTAACATTTACTTATCAACCAGTCTGGGATATTGCAAGCGTTTGTAAGCGCCAAATATAAATCAATCAAGTTTTCATTAGCATTTCTCTTCTACATTTTCTCCCAATAGTGATAACTGAGCTCGTCTTCTTGCGTCACCCACTCAGCAATTCCGTTTGGATGGGTTCTACCTTATTATTCCCATGTGTTTAAGCTTATTGGTCATTAACCATGCTACTGCGTCACAGTGTACCGCCATGATTTGTCCAACATTTATCGGTTCCTGGATGACAGGTCTTGATAATGGAATTGAGGTGAATGTTTATCACGAATCAGTACTTAAAGTGAACAAGTAACATTGGGTGAATGGCGGTCGGTCTCAAATAGACAGAATTAACGTTTATGAAGTCATCGAAATTTGCAATGATGTAAAGAGAATCGGTTTAATTGTTACTTGATTCACCTCAGACAGGCCATGATCCTTCAGAATGTCGCACCCAACTAGAGATAGATCGGAACTAATAAAATAAGCAGTCGTAATAGAGAAGATACAAGCTGTGTTATCCGAGATGAATTTATAAACAGCTTTTTTGAATCCAACTTTACTTAAGAAATACAAATTCTTTTTTTAAGATTATTTAAAAAAGGAAAAATAAACAAAAATATATAGATAAAGGGGAATAGTCAGAAATGCAATTTGTCCTTTAAATAAATAATCAATTCCGATTGGTTAAAAGAGTACAACCGCTCCATAAAATAACCACTTTTAATTATTGTCACCATGTGGCTGCATGACCAAACGGGATCCCCTTAATCATAATCTGTCAAAAAGTACATTCCTACATGCCAAATCCACAGAAGATAAACATGACCTAATTATAGCATGCAAAGCTTGAAAATCGCCTAAACACATGGGTAAGAAAGGCAAAAGAAGATCCCATAAGATGTTCTGTGAACTTGCATGTATGTCTAATTTGCTGTAAGATCCATCAACCCCTGTATAAGCTCTTTATTTTGATCGCATTGAAATTTAATTTGAAAAGGGAAAAATTTTAGCTAACATGAGCTTTTTAAATTATTGCAAACATGGCTGATTAAACTTTGGGAAGTAAATATTTTTGATGAAATTAGTTTGGTCAGTGGTATAGCCCGCAACTTTTGTAGGATCGGCTAACTACTTGTAAAAGCGCCTAGCTGGATAATATATAATGAATGGGACAGAGGTAGTAAGTGCCGTATAATACTGAAGGACCGCAATTTAAGGTGATGAGGAGAACCAACCATTGACTGGATCCTTTAAAGGGCTAATAGGCGCTTCTTAGATCACTACATCCAAGGTGAAAAAAAATATTTAAAATGGAAGCTTTCAAGCTATTGATTTAACCTCGTCTAACTAAGGAAACAGAAAATGACAGTGCTAAATCAAGATGATGAACATCGACTGCAGATATTCAGATCAATGTCGAAATGATTTAGAGAAGGTAAGGCAGACGTATAATATTATTTGTAAAGCATTACAAACAAAAATAAATTATCCTGCTTTTTGAAATTAATGACTTGTCAAAGTAGTCTCATTTGATACTCTGCGACAAACCACTGGTGAACAAAAAAACCTTCTTTCATTATGACAAAAGCTGGTCATTTAAAAGCGGTCATAACTTTAATTGGTACTTAAGAAGGAACCCCAGATTCCATATCTGATTCGACTTTCCTTTTTTATAGGATGTACAGGTTTTCGCGTAGGTGATAGCTACTAAATTTAAGCACTTTTGAAGCGAGTTATCTTTATCTAACTCAAATATCATGCAAAATGAAGTTTGCCTATCAAACACAGTAATATTACGTTTTTTTGAGAAAACGAGCCGTTATTCAAACATTAAATTAGCAAAATATCTGAAGAAGTGTCTCTGAATTCATCTTTTCAGCTGTGTTTGGCTAGTTTCGTACAGGATAATCCCTTAGACTTTTATCTAGCAGTATGAAGCAAATTATGATGACAGGTGATGCTCGAGAGATATTAGCGATTTGAAACTTTATCTACCGGTCTACGTGATTAACATTGAGTATTTAGTATGCAAAAATGATTGACTAGAACATGCTTTTTAGGCCAAATGCCATCAAAGTACTCCAACTTTGTGACTGGTGGATTGTCACCAATCCCTAAAGTGGAGACGAACACTGATTAAGCTTAAAACTTTGGCAGTCTGCAACCCTTCCCTCCTCTCTCCGAATAACCCAAATATAAAATATCGTCCTCTAGCTATCTTCTCGACCCAAGAGTCCTAAGCTGTAGGCAGAATAGAAGAACATTTCAAATGTTACGGTGGCACAAACAGTCATACTGCACCGCACAAAAGGCACAGGTTGTCATGAGGTGAATGCAAAATATTTTTTAGCAATGATAGCGTTAGCTTAAGCAAGCTATTGCTTAATACGACCTATCTATGCAGTGCATTGCGTATTTTAGTCCTGACTGTACGCACTTTCAAGCTAATTCCTTACCCGCTTAACTACGCGTAGGGTACTCACGAGGAGCATGTTTCACGTTAAATCAGATAGGGTGCCTCTTTTAAAATAAGCCAACCCAAAATTGTTATACTACCACCAATATGGCCTCCTGAGTGCCCTATAGACGTTGTAAACACTGATTTCTTTAAGTACCTTTATTACGCAAGCAAAATTTCTATAAAAAAGGGACACAAAAGGTGGTCATGTAATTTAATATGCGACGTTAACAAAATCGTATCGTGCAAATACTAAAAATATATTCCTTTCCAATTACCAAGGGCCTAATCAACCTGGCTGGAGTGAAGTTCCACATAGAAAATTTGCTTTGAAATCTTTTATGATAAGCTAAATGAGGTTTCAGAGGGCATGTTAATTTACCATGGTATTGAAAATGAGTTGCATTTCTTAAAGAACTCGATGATAGAGAGTAACTTAAGGCAGACTAGGCTGTGACACCAAGATGGAGTTTTGCCATTCATGACAGGCATTTGACCGTAGCACACCATGTTAATCTATTGCTTGGTTTTCTCAGACCTACCACCTGAACTGGCTAGAGCATGGACAGTAAAAATGAGATGTTAATTGACTTAAAGGGTTTTGCAATTTAGGGATGACAAAAATTGCTGCTTATGTGGGTAAGTTTAATTCTAATCAGGCTAAATCTTTGATAGCAAGTAAATCAAACTTTGGCGAAAACTTCCACATTGTATTTTAAGTGTGAGTTTGATGGGGCACTGGCAGTGGATTGAAACATGAAGCTATTCCCCTCTCACGTATTTGCAGTCTTTCGGCAAGTCTTGAGCCTGCAGTGATCATTAACACATTTAACGTCTGCCTGCACTTAATGTTGGTCAGCCTGACGAAATGGAAGAGAATAGGAATTCGAGGTGTTATGCAAATTTGAGGAGCTAAGCATGAAAATGATAGATTAGTAGACTCTAAATGGGAACATTTTCTGGGGATGTTTGATATGTAAATCCCCATTTAATCGTACGCATAATCATATTTGACGTCATGTTTCTTACACATAAACAATTATACGAAAGCCTCTTTTGCCCATAACTACAGAACATGATTCATGTCAATTCATCTTTAGACAGACAGGCAATAATGCACCTAAATTTTCCTCGTATTTGACAGTAATCATTTTAGCACATGTCATTACTTTAGCAGGATATTTTTATTCTAAAACTTTCGGTAGATTTGACTTATTTCAATCCTTATCAGGCTTTATTCCATTACTAAATGAAATTTCCTTCGCCAATTCGTGTGTAGTATGATTGCACCTCTCGTGGCATTTCTGGATGCTATTCCATAAAATTAATGCCACTTGTAAAACGCATTGCCCGGATATTTTTGAAAAGGGATTAAATTTAGCAGCTATTTGTTTTGTGCGTCCCTCAGCGCCAGCTGTATGAAATTCCGGTCGTTAAATACCGACAGCTACATTGCTGCCGTTGCGTTTACTTGGAACCTCAGATAAATGTTCCTATTTAATCCTCTAGATATTTGCAATTTTGAAAATAATTTTTGATGGTCCTAGAAAACATACACTTCCACATTTCTTTCTGATTGGGTAAAGTTAATCTTTAGGTGTGCTAATAAGTATTATAAGCCCAAGGTTGAATAGTCACTATAAGTATACATGACTAAACCGGACGAGTAACCTAGCCTCTGGTTCAGAGTTTAACACTTTAACAACCTGCCTTCAGATCTGTTAACGCATGTAGCGCTACTGTGTAGAATCCCCCACGTCAGTCAAAAGATATTTAGTCAGTCTGATGGGTGGCCCTGATAAGATCTGCCCTACTCAGAGCAGTCAGTTGGTAGCAGTGGTTAAGGTAGATCGGTTACTTGAAGGAGCTTAAGCGTCTACCAAATCTCCGATTCAAGTTTCATGTCTACTTGATGCGGCTGAGGTACGCATCATCACGCATGAATGAGTGCTGTCAAGGGGCAATTCTAGGAATTATAGGGGAATAATTTTTAGTGAGAGACATTCATTTGCCCTACTGTTCCGAAAGTCATTTTACCCAAGCCAAAATCAGTGATTCAATTTGCTGTCCTTCACCGTTTAGACTATACACTTCAGTAGTATAAGGGGAGGAGGCTTTTGGATATAACAAATTTTAATTAAGATGGCGCATAAACAAACCTTATAAAGAGGTATTACTTTTTGGGCAGAGTCGATTGCCAGTTTAAGACAACTCCCACGTTGGCAACATTGTCTTCGTGGCAGGAATGTGAAAGGTTTCGATTAGCTTCCTACACGACATGGCAGACAGCGCTTTCTGATCGCATATTCCCCTTTCAGTCCATGGTCAGCCTTCAAGCTTACGTGACAGCTTAATGTCTAATTGAGTTTATGCGGTTCACTTAAATCCCTCTCTCAGATAAAACCACCACAAAGTACAAAGTATGTAAATGGCGGCAGCTAGCTCTGCTTTTAGCTAAAAAATCATGGAAAGAAAGAGTAAACATAATAAACTCTCATATCCACATTTTTCGATTCGGAGGAATGGGAGGATAAAGGGTTTACACAAAGGGTGGAAGTCAAGTAACAAACACAAATTGAGCGCGTATTATAAAAATAAGTGAAAAATTAATGACCTTTCATCATAAAGGTATAGCAAAATAGAGATCTCATTTAAAGGAGCCAGAAAACCTCAATAAAAGGAAACTTTAATTTTGAATATTTAACAATAATAGGGGTTAAAATGAATATACTTAGAATTATAATGATTATTGTAATAAATGCAATTGTAATAATTTACTGAAGAAAACTCACAGTTAATATTTTCGGGTTGGAAATTGGGAGAAGGATAGAAATAACACGAACACTCTTAAAACTAAGGTAAGCCTAAGTGAATATATCTGGCTCACAGAGTCGTCAAATGCATTCCTCCGCCTATATTATTTCTAAGGTTTCCTCCTCTAGTCATACGTTTATGCTAATACAATTCTTCATTTTGTTTGCTTAAATAATGAGTATTGTAACAGATAAACATTAGATCATCACAAAATACTACCTCTTTTAGCAGTAGTAGTAGACACTCCCCCACTTTAGAACGGGATACTGCAAAAGCTCACTTTTCGGGTGATTAAAAATATGGCCTGGTGAAATCGTGCATGGTATTCTCTCTATGTATTTAAATAGATTTATGTAGAAGAGTAATAATTATAGAAGACAACATTTTGATTTATTTAATAAACTTCGTTTGATAACCACCCTCTATCTAGTCAGCAATATATTAGGAGGAAAAGAAAATTAGATAATACTGAGGGGCAGAATATCCTCAGGAGAACTAAAACATTTCCTTGAAGTTTCATAAAAAACAGGCTACATTGTTACACGTTGTTTGTTAAGGCCTTTGTTTTGGTTATGTGGCACTAAAGGCTCTGCTATTGTAATTCTGCCAGGCAGCGTAGACTCCAGGCCGTTTCAGTTGCCTTTCAGTCCTTTTATACGTTGCTAATACATTTTTCGTCCTAATGATATAATTTATCCTGTCTTTAGGAAAGGCCCAGAATTCTACATTTTATTTCAATGCGTAGCAATGGTTTAATACGAAAGAGAGGAGCATCAGATACCACATCTCCCATTTGCGAAATGACTATGCCAAGCTTCTTCAATTATCAAACAAGCTCTTCCAAATTTTCGTCGAACAGTGTCTCAGAATAAAACTCACTGCATTCCAAAAGGTTTTTTGTAAATAATCACTCATTAAGGCTGAAATTTCCGAAAAATCTCAAGCTAGGGTGTTTAATTAAGCAAGCACCGGTGAATCTCATGATTGTTACATGCATTGTCCACAACCTATTTAAATGATTTAAATGGCTAAAACTAAGTGGTAAGACTCGCTGACATAGGCTTATATTGATAGATAGCCTTTTAAATAAGTAGTGACAACAGCTTCGACGCACGGTTTAGAGACATACATGTATGAAACCCTTGAAGCAATACTGCAGTGTATTCAGTTTTTGTATTCCTTGGGTAGTGGTGTCGATCTTGCTAAATACATTGACAGGAAAAGCGGTTGAACCCAAGGTTATAATGGGGAGGATTTTATTTGGCGGAGAAACAAATATGCAAACAAAGTTGGCATGCAGTTCTAGTGTTTTCAAAATTTGTTTCAATAATTGCTCTAGTAAAAAAATAAAAGGAATGAGGACATTATCTCAGGGTAGTTGCTGTTTAATTGAGTTCAAGGTACCCAAGAGTTCAAATTTACTTCTATCTCCAAACAAACAAGGGTTTGTTGCGAAACAAAAAAAAAATGCCAAACTTACAAAATTAAATGAATTAGCACATATTTGATTAGCACGATAATTAATACTACTCATTCTGAAGAAATACAATAGTACTCTGGAATTGGTTCTCATCAGATATCTATATAGGATGAAAACTTTTGCAATCATTGCCTTTTTGTCCTAAATTCCATTAGCCTTAATTAGGAGCTACTAGTAGACATCTTTTTCTCCAAATAAAACCGCTGTCAAAAAATGCATTCTAAAAAACAAGATTACTATTTATTTGCTCTCAGCATAAAAGGAATTCTTTGTATTCCTCGTTCTTCAGTGAGGATTGACGAAAGTGGGTAGTTTGCTGGCGGCTTAAGTCGGCCTATCATAGTTTAAAGTTTGTCCTCTGTTGGTTGCACTTGCTGTTGCTGTTGACTGTCAATATTTTCCATGAAGGTATCCGTTCCATTGATGACGGTAACGCGGTAAAGTCCATGTATTTGCAAGACTATTCCTTACTAAGGTGGACGCGGTTGAAGAGGAACGGGAGGAGGGATTACTTAGGCTACCCTCCACACACACCGAGGGCACACCACGTCGCTCTACCTCGTATTTGATAAGCTGGCGCCAGAAACCCGGATTTGGACGTATGCAGGGTCGGAGGCGGCGGAGATGATCGTATGCTTCTGCCAATGTCATGCTTGAATGCTTTACAAGGTAGGCAAGAACAAGACTGGGAGATCGTGACACCCCAGCCACGCAGTGCACGAGGCTGCGCCCTCCTCGCCGTGCCTCTCGAGCAATGCGGTCCGCTACAGAGTCAAAATGAACACTCAGATCTGCGCTCTCTATATCCTCCACACAAATCTGCACGTGTGATCGTGTTCGCCGCCCACCTTCCGCCAACAGCTCCGGTGGAAGCACCTCCACCATGGCGGAGATCACTTGCGTCACGCCATGCTGTTGCAGTCGGGTCGGTGTCAGTGCCGCCAAACTGCTCAAGTAGAGATGGTCATTGATCCGCGCAATCTGACTAAACATCCTCTCAATCTTCTTCAATCTCACCCACTTCTCTTTACCCATCATATTCGCTTAGGGTGTCCGTTTAGTCCGATTGGCTTAAACGGTCTCATCCAATAGGCAGCGCACTAGCCAAATCGTTTAAAATCACGAGGCTCTCCCTACGTGACTGACTGTCGTGAATCCATACATAGGTATTTATTATCACGCTTCAAAAGAACGCATGTTTCCATGCCTTATTTAACATATTTTATTATCGGTAATTCCAGTATACGCAAATTTGGCAACCCTTGTAATGCTGCGATTATTTCGAATTAACCCGCAACTAATGAAGAAGGTGTAATGCATAATTATGCAGATCATTTATTAAGGTAAACAAGTCTGTAAATCCGGATGATTTTTACCCGTTACTTGATAAAAACAAGTGGCCAGAATTCTTTTCTTTTTAAAGTATTACCGCTGTTGAATTCCAGTCTATATATTCTATGTTAATCTAAAGATAGGTATTAGAGGCTGTGGAAGTATACACTTAAATTACACACCATATCACCTTCAAATTCCCATTGACACTTGATCCTTCATCTCTTTTACGGCATGTTCGCTTATTTCGCATAAATTATTTAAACCACTCAAACCAGATGTATATACTTATACAACTAAAACCGATGTCGTCAGAATATTTTTATAGAAATTTTCAATATCACTGAAGTATATCTGCTAAAATACACCTTTGACTAGAAAAATAATCCTTTTATAGATATGTAGTTGTGTCATCCTCTTCTAGAAAGGCAGAAGTTGTCTACCCACCATCACATTGGCTGCCGCACTGCATGCCATTCAACGACCACCATAGACTGGCAAGAAAAGACTTTTGCTATTCACTTACGTGGTCAAATAATGCCTAGCTCAAGTGTTTTGCTCTTTAACCTACAGTGGCAATTCACTTTTAACTCTGAGAGGTAATACTGCGTATATTGAGCAATAAAGATCATTTTGAAATATCTGTGGAACTGAAATTCAAAAGACTTCGTTTACAATGACCGAAAGTGCAATTGCAAACTTTTAAAACACTTTTAAATTTACGTATGTTTATTAATGACATGAATTTTACGGACCAAATGTCAACTGATCATCATACAATCGCATGTAAACACTGTCCACTTTGTGTTAGAATGATTAATCTGATTCGCATGTGTAGGTAACAGGTACACATTGCAGACTTCCGACACTACACTGATGCAGCCAGATTGAAGGCGGCCATCCTTTCTCATGTCCTTCATTCCATCCCATCATTTGCGTCCTGGAAAGAATTAACTCAACCTATATGGGCAAGTTTAAATGGTAACGGTATTAGATCCAAATCGGGTACTAATGGACTTATAGTTCGTAAAAAATGCAAAAAAGATATTCTTAGCCAAGCATTACAAAACTGCACATACATATGCATACTTGAAGATTGTACTTGCATAAAGACCTATTGTAAATACCACTGATGCGCGGTCTTCCATTCAAGCGAATTATAGCAGTTGTATATACTTGTAGGGATAAGTATCCTATCGTAGAAACAAACTCTACTTTGAGTGGACTTTTTGCCATGATCCTAAACAACCATTGTGATCCTATCCAGCATTGATAAATGCTGATCTGGCCACCCTTTACCAAGCTGTGAGGAAACGAATAAGTGATTATAATGATCTTCATTAATATGTACATATGCACATTGACAAAGTCGTTAAACTATGTATAATCATATATACAATAACCATTTACAGATATCTTCTGCTCCCACTTTCTTCTTCTTTTCGTGTCAAAAGGTCGATTGTGTCTAAGCTTGATTTGTTCACATCTAGCCTACCCCATAAAATAGAAAGTAAGGTAAGCAATCTAGCAAAAGCAGAAGAATTTTTATCTTTGCCTAATTGTTTTCACTCCTCATTATTCCAATTACAAGTGCAACAAAAGATGGAGGAGTAAAATGTTCGTGAGCATCTGTCAAGTTTGTAGAACTGTTAAGCACAACAAGTGTGATGCTTTATTTGGTAAGCATCTGGATATTCAAAACTTATTTTTTAATTAAATAATAGGCACAATTTTCTTTCTGCCTTTAGAAGCATACCTTTTTTCCCATAGCAGAAACGACAAATACATATCAATATGACCAGCAGAATGGGGGTACATATTGTCACCGATACGGCGAGAGCTACTTCTAAAAATGGAAAATGTAAAGACATATGCAAACAAAAATTTCTGAAATTTTACAAATAGCGATTTTTGCAAGTTATTAAACCATTTTAAATTCAGTGGTTCTTTTAAATGCTAGTAAGGAGTTTTCACTTTAACCATCTCGTATGTTATGGAGTTTAGTCATGTAAAGCTGTAAATTGCCATTTGTTCAGAAACAATTGAGCAGACTCGAGTCATATCAAGTCACACGTGCAGCAATTCATGAGGGAAGATTAATTTGCTTATGTTTTGTTAAGAAATACCGCGAATATGTGTAAGCCGAAATTATCCTTGTGATGGCCAACTATGACAGCTAATCAGTAAAGTCATAATACTTTTAAAATGTGTAAAGATTTTTTAGAATATCAATTAGCAAATTCAATGACTTACTTAGGGATGGAGTAAAATCCGGCGAAGTGATGGCTGGATCTCCTTAACCAATGCAAAACAAGTAAAGAGTACAACCTTTCTGGCTGTATTTATGGTGTACATCGCCACATGTCACCATTTTTTAAAAATACGGCTTAAATAAATAAGCTGTAACGCACTAAACAAATGTCGTAAGCAAGAATTTTTGCATGGCAGTACAACTCTTCAGAAATGGTTCGAGAATCTAGGCAATTATTGAGGCACCGAAATGCTACTCACCCGTAGTAGAAAAACTTTCTAGCGTACTCGTTGAATGAGGGTTAGAACCTAAGATTGTAGGAAAGAGCCTAAGTACTGGGAAATGTCACCATGTAGAGGTGTGTAATGTGGTGGATAAAAGTTGAAAATCAACTGCAATTGAAGTGCTGAGAAATGGTACCAAAGTCATCTACTGCATGGAAAGGATACTTTGGGAAATTATTAACTACAAATTTGTTAGCACAACACCTAACTCATATTTATTCTGATAAAAAAGGAACAGAAATGCCATATGCAATTAGAAGTATCCACAGAGGGGGCGATCTTACGTGCCCTGGCTTACAAGAGGCACTGGAATGGAGACAAAGGCCAAAGACAACCATCATCCAGCTTCTGTATGTCCACACCAGTGTAATGTTAGAAGTCTGCAGGCCATGCAAGTTTGCAGCACATTCTATTCCGATTGGCCCACCTGGCACCAAGTGGGCAGCGATTACACTTAGGCAGGTGAAGGTCAATCGATGGTCGATCTGTGCAAGTTATGCGGACGATATTTATATTTGCACTTGCCAGCTTTACTATACGTTTGGCGGTGCTTTCAGACCACGGTAATAATGCGAAATGTTTTCAACTTTTGCTCAGTTGGGTAGAGATAATTCACTAAGAGGAACAAGTAAAAATAATATAACCAATAGATTGTGCAAGTCACAATTTGCACGACCTTTAACCCCCAAGTCAAGTTTTAGGATAGTCCCTTTAAGTTTGCATAATTTTGAGACAAGAGCGTTCAGATCCTTGATGTTAATCTACGAAGGCTGTTGCGCCAGTTGTCATGGTCTCTATTCATTTATAATTAAGTGGCATTCAACTTATCGTGATGCCGTTGCTTTCATTAGATCCATCACACAATCTCATGGAAGAGTGTTATGACACTGAAACACCTTAAACATTACAAAAACGCATGGTAAAACCACTTGCTGCATTTGCTTACTGTGATGACAGCAGAAAATTTGCGGCTCATCATCTGTCATTTCTGCAAGCACATCATAATTGCCACTAATATCTAATCAGTAGGTCGACTAATCTGATTAAAGGTGCAACAAATGAGTTTGTAGTTTGTAATTTCACAACTGCTAGTAGCGTTAAATGTATAGGTTCTACATAAATGAGGCATGAAATACTATTTGTGATTTTGCAAGCCGGTTCGTACAATAAAGGGAAGCAATGTTTACGTCGAAGAGTATATATTTTTTTGACGTTCTGGTTGGGGAATAAAAGTGCATATTACTGAAATTCGCAAAAAGTAGCGGTGTCTATGACTCAAAAGAAAAGGAGCAATATTCGCACTATTGGCAAGTGTGGATTGCATTAAAGGCCAACTTTTGTTTGCCAGGAAAAAAATAAGGTATACACAGAGAGGAAAATTGGAGGAAAATTGAAAGCATATCCCCATAGGCACACAAAGATTTTAACCGCTCCAATTAACTTTTGAGAGTGATTAATACGGGTGGCATTACTAGAACCTCATGCATATTTTTATTGAATCAAATTATCGGCGATCTAATCAAAAGGCATCATTGTGCTACTTATTTACTACGGAGAAAGCAATCTGATAAAAGCTTACTTGAAGGAGCGGGAAGAACTACAATTGCTGCAGTTTTTGGAATTTCAAAATCCAGTCTCATTGTTATAATACCCCAACATCCGCGCATTGGAAAGTCAAATTGCAAATGTCAACTACTTTCGGTAAGTGAATATACTTATTCACTCTTTCACTTATTGGAGTAGCAGTTGACACATTATACCTCGTAATTTTGACATTGGTGAGGTGGACTAGACTAGGCTAAACTGGTTTGATTCTGTCGTGAGCTCTTTAAGGGTAGTCTCTTCCATCGTTATTATCAGTCTGTCTGATGTGTGTAATTTTGTGGGGTGCGTTGCGCTAGCGATCTCGGAAGGATGCAACGCACGTGTATGTGCGCGTGGGCATTGGGGGAGGGGGGGGGGGGAGTAAGAACATGTGGATAGCGCTTCTGTGGGTGCGCTCTCTCACATGTCTGTGTGTACACACAGTTGGGTTTGCCATTCGTACAGTCACTTGCTCACCTGCTAGCTGCTGATGTTGTTGCTGCTGCCTATGGCATGCGAACTACTTGGTTGATCCTGCCGGTAGTCATATGCAGGTCCCAAGGATTAATCCATACTTGTCCCACTTCACGCCTAAGTTCAGAGAGGCTTCGGATGTTCCCATTTAGTCAGCCATGGTTTACTAAAGCGTACCCGTTAAATGAATAACCGCAACAACTTTAAAGCTAATACACTAATTTAGATCAAAAAAGCCAATCAATTGTGCGCGTGCGGTCGAGAGGTCTTTACGTTCGTGGACGAAATTTTGGTGGCACCGGATACTTGCTGCATACTGCAGCTGGTAGTTAAGAGTCGGCATTGTTGATTGCTTTTTTCAAACGTCCGTCCAGCTGATCATTAACAGTGGATGGTTAACTGCCTACTATGGTGGTAATAGTAAGGGGTAACGCACATTAAGATCACGATTTCGCTAAAATGATAGCCTGAGGAACGGTAGCAAGCTTGCGAGTTACCCACTTTTAGTTTAGGGAGGTGAGGTGGTGACAAAAATACTGATGAGGGAGTCATTAAAGCAAAGGAGTGTGCTCAGTAATAGGAAAAAGTGAATTCTAAATCCTTTCAATTAAATCAATTGTAGGTCAGGGCTGACTAGAGAAGCCATAATAACTCCACCTTTAATAAAGTATATTAAAATTGCCTGGATAAAAGGCTCATAATTGGACCTCTGTGGCACCGCTACCTGCGGATAATTGAGCGGCCGGTGTGTGGCTGTCGGCATGCAATCCTGGCGTCTGTATGTTGGTGGCTAGCTCAATCACCTTTGATGTCAGGCTTATGCAGGCCTTTTAATCAGCACTGTATTGTTAGGACAACAAAGAGTTGGGGTTATTTTGAATCCGTGTCTGTGGCGCAACAGCCACAGACGTGGGCGGGTGATAGGTACTATTCTTTGCACTTTGTAATCCGATCCCGTTAGTGGCTTGTTAGCATGCATTTCGATGGATTCTTCTCTTTGAGACTGTGGTGTCTGTGGGCAGATAGTGCTTTTTCTTAGGCAAATTTAAGCACTAAAA